TGAATTGATGGTGATGCAGATGGGAGAAGGAGGAGTAAAGGCATGATTGTGCACGCGTCTCTTTCGGAGTCGGTACTCCTAAAGCTCTGGTCATTGGGGTTGTGGCTTTAGTTACATCCATTAGTGCATGAACTGTCTTTCAGCCACTGAGGAAAAACTAGTCCAATGGTCCTTTTTTTTTGACATATTAATGTAGGCACCAGACAGTGTTGTACAATGTGTAAAGTTTTCTAAAGAGGGAGTGTGTGTATCTTCAATTCTTTTACTTATTTCAAGTGTTTATCGAACGCTTACTAGTCCTTCCTCTAATTTTCTGCAGTTAGTAAAGGTGTAATGAGTCCATATTGTCCCAAAAATCTATTTGCTGCAACATTACAAATGTAATCACCAGTGTCGAGTCAACCCCCGAGTTTCGGTCTAATACTTGAATTAAATTAAATCAATTTTTGTTTTATGATTGAGTTTGATTCACAACACACAAGCATTTATAATATACATACACACATATTTGTTTTTTCCACACGAACTCTGTGACTTAATACATAGTCCGTGAAATGTAGTTGGTTCGAGTCATGATTATTTAAGCTCTACACAAGACAATGTGCACTGAGAGAAAATAATATAAATGATTTGTACTCTTGTCGCGATTGTTTAAGAAAAGAACATACAACCGGTGAATATCATAGTTGAGTGATTAGAATTCTAAAAAGCAATATATTCTGACCCAACCGTCTGATTTAGGTGAATTGGTATCAATATATAGACTGTGAAGAAGATTGCCAAGATCAATTATTAAGGTTTCAAAAATAATTTTCTTTTTTGCATAATTTGATCTATGGTTATAAGGTTTTGGTCAAACGACTGATTAACCAATTGAATTTCTGAACATTAACAAATTGAGTTGTGAACACATTCCATTGTAAATCAAAGAAAAGAGAGGGGAAATGAAAGAAAAATGGCCAAAAGAAGAAGAAGTTCAACTGCCCCGAGAAAAGAAAATTATATGATCGCTACATTTATCCCTAACTCACATGTTTATGTCACAATTCACACTAAGGTATATATGCTCCTTAAAGAGCGTTCATTCTCGATCGACCCCTTCAGCCCTCGCAACTTCTTCGCTAACCCTAACCACCTCCCCATCGCATCGGGCAGTCAAGGCCTCACCCTATTCCTGATGCAAGGAGAGCGGCTTAGAGATCGGTGGCTTCGCTCGCCTCTCAACAAATGTGTATAATACTGTTTGGTTCCACTTTACAATAACTCTTTTCTTATTAAAAGTACCTTGCTTTAATCGTTGCGTACTATGTACTGTTTGATAACCAATAAATCCCCCGCCTTTCTTTTTTTTTTTCCCTCTACTTTTTGGATCTCCGTACGTGAAATCTCACTCTCTGCAGAATCCATTGCCCATCTAAGGCTCTCCCCACAGCTATGAATGAATTCTTGGTGAAAACAGTTATGTACATCTTTCCTTTTCTAGACTGAAGTTCTGTGTGTACACATTACAATGAATTTGATCCGACCCAATCTCAAGATGGGCTCCATCATGCCCCCATATGATCACATCAGCTATTTAAATAATATATCTCCAAATTTAACGTTAAAAATAACAAAAATCAACATCTAACTCAACCACTTTGGTTGCTCCATTTACTATACGGGTTGGATTAATGAAGAGTGAGCATTATTCCAATTTCCAACCGCTTAATTTCATTGGCCAACATGGAGTTGGCATTTGTCGCTTCTTGCTGGCGTGGGGCTTAGCCACATGCCATTTGCCTTTCCTGTCACTGATTTGAAACGTCAAAGCATTTGGAAAAAGAAAGAATTTTAGGAGTTGGATTTGGTCCGCTAACGTGTTTTTGTCATCCTTAAACGTGACTTTTGGTCGAAAGGATCTTGGTGATGCGTGATTGCTTCGAATTTCTTGATTGTGGCATCTCCATTTGGTTTCCTTTCATTTAGTATATAATTGGCAAATATCATGACAAAATCAGCGTCTAGAAAGTTATAGAAGAGCGCCAAAGCAACTTCGACGTCGAATCAATGTCGTATGTCACGTCTAAAAGAAGTTTCATGTAATTGAGCTACATCTTGCACGAAAAGAATGTTCCAAACATATTTAAATCCATCATTTAGTTGATCTCTTTTGATTATCAATCTATGCTATTAATTAAGCGAACCCGAAAACCACCTCGGCCTCAAATTTATCCAAAAGAATTCCACGGAAAAGCCCATGATATATTAAAAACATCCTATGATCATGCATAATTATATATGTACAAAATCGTAATTAGTGATTATTAAGACGATTGGAAAACAATCAATGAATCTCTTACCTTCTAAATTTAATTACAAAAAAATTATCAGGTGTTCCATAATTTTTTTTGAACTTTCATTTAGGACAAGTTAAAATATATTATAAAACGGAATAAAATCTGGACATACTCTTTTATCATTCATTAAGCTTCCTTTATTTCGTGGAAAATGAATAATTTGAAAAATATTTTCCTAAAAATTAATGCTTATATCACTTGAAATTATTAATCAATAGATAATTTTTTCATTATTGATAACAATTTATATCTAAACATTTTTATGGACGATGAAAATATCTTTCATTTATTTATTTTTGTAGGTGATACAAGCGATCATATTTAGGAAAATATCTTCCAAATCATTTATTTTCCACGAAACAAACACACTCTTAGTATCATTTTTTTTTCACTATTTCTCTTTGCACGCAACTCGTGTGTTCTTTTCTACTATAAGTGAAAAAAAATAGCTAGTTTTTTTTTTTGGTAAAGAAAAAAAAAAAAAAACTAGCTATTTTTTTTCACTTATAGTAAAAATAGCTAGTTTTCGATTCTACAATAGTTAAAAAAAATGGTAATTATGAGCTAAAGGTTTTCGGATATGGCCATCATACCAAACTTAAAAAAGAGAATTTTGTTTTCAAGCTTTGATAATTATAAGATGAGCTGATTGCAAACGCTCTTCACATGGAATGGTTAAATTGCTTAACCCTGCAATTAGCATTCATGTGGTAAAATTTGACTAAATCTGAATAGAGACAGGTGTGCTATGCCTGATCATTAATTTTTCCTTAGTGAAATTATCTTTTATTCTTGCATAATGTGACTAGTAATGCACATAATCTGTATCCACAATCAACAATATTCCTGTGCAAAATTAAATGCAAGAACCTTTAACCAGTGTGGGTTCAATGGCTGCAATCTAGCCACATGCTTCATTTCCAGCTTTTTCTTTTCCTTCTTATTGTAAATTAATTGCTCTCTCCATTATTTCCAACAGTGGTTTCAATCATGAGGGTAGATGCAATAGGTGCAAGATAACAGCTCGAGGCGTCACTTGCATGTGCATTAACAAAGAATGCTCTAAAGATACTTACTAATCATACGTGATAATGAATATTTCAATTTGTCAAAACATTGGTTACACTTAACAAGAGCAAAACGTTGTGTCAGCGAACTATGATCTTTCTTTGTTTTGTTGCTTCGGATTATTCGTTAACAAAATACTTTAAAAAATTACATCGTTCGAGGTCCACACGTTTCAAAGGGAAAGCTTTTAGTTGTACACACAAGAGTGAGTTCACATGATAGGTTTGATATTTAGATGTTGCCAAGCATGACTTTGGTTGTACTTTCAAGCTGTTTCTGTGTGAACTACACATCATAAATGCACATGCAATGAAGAAGTACGTATCCTAACAGCTCTCGGCAAAATGAATGGTCTGGTTTTGTCCCAAATCCTTACCTTTTGACAGGGTCAAATAAAATAAAAGAGATCGTTTACCTGCCCCGTGAGTGATTCTACTATAGAGGTCAATGATCGACAATAACTCTACCCGAACACAACAACCAACTTTCATGGTATAGTGCTCTCCAAAGAGCAACTCTTCTCAAAATTTCAAAATTTCAAAGGATGTTGAGTTATAATCCTATTCTAACTAAGGATTCTTGTGGTTATGGAGGATTCAGTTACAGGAGAATATTTCCCCCCTTATGATGGCGCCTTACCCTAATTGCTCAATTGTTGTGAATAGGTGCTCTCACATATTTGTTATATACTTAGATAAAGAAAGATTGTGAAGAGATGCCTCCAAACACTTGTTAAACTCCTAAAATTTGAATGAAAAGTATTCATGAGAGCTGGTCAACTGGCTTGAATTCTGCTTCTCGAGCAGCTGAGCTTACGCAAAATCTACCCTTGACCCGATGCACACATTCTCCGGCTAGACTTTAGGTTAATTTGGGCCAAGGAGGTCAAGTATAGTTCGAATCACGTTAGAGCTCATAATACTCGACCCGTGTCTAATGAGTGAGCTTTGTGTGAGATGCTTAAATTCACGGATGTAATTCGACCCGAGTAGATGGTATTGAGGAGAGCAATTTGAGTGACTTAATTGGAAGAAAATGGAGACTTGTATTTTGTGCAGCTGATTCTTTCTTGGGTATGTTTATAGATTTGGTTCAAACCCATATAAGCACCAACGTACCACTGCATAAATAGTACCATGCAAATTGGTTTTTTCTTTATATGGGTTCGGCTAAAACTTGATATTGCATGGACTTACTCTATGACCAAGTGGTGAGAGCGTGCGAACTATTTTGCCAGGAAAAATCAGGCTCAATCAAGCTCGGGTTAGGTACGCCATCAGCATTTCATCATGTATATGTCGATAAAAAATTAGTTACGTTTTCACACAGTCGACACAACTCAGCAGCAGCAGACAACTATTAGGGATCGATAGATAGATAGAGAGCAGTTGAGGGCTTTCAATGCCGAGTCTTGATAATGTGACGTAGCACATGTTTTAGGGTCTTTTCGGAACCTCCTATTATTAAGGGTTCATCGCAATATTGGTCCCTAAACTCCATGTGAGGCCCTTTACTGCAGTGTCGGTGAAGAAGCCATTAATGCTTAAAACCCTCACTTGCTCAAGCATCATTATATAACACATGCCTGAGATTGATAACATAAGTACAGCGCTTGAGACTCTCTCAAGCTTGTGAAAGTTCGTTCTCTCTTTTTTCTCTTTTGGTGTTCGGGGTTTTCACATAACTCATTGGGGGAACCGAGCACGGGTCTCGATGAGGATATTGGGAGTAATTTCTGTGTTCTTGCTGTTAGCTTTCACAATCTGCCATGGAGAGGAGACAACTGTGGAGGTTCTTGGAGTCATGGAATGTAGCGACTGTGCACAGAGAAACGTCAAGCCCAGCCAGGCATTTTCTGGTACTCCATTTATTTATTCTTCTTGTTCCCAACTAAGAACAGCTCATTGGCTTGTCCATACAATGCATGCAATTGCTTAAATTTGCATGCATTACACTCGCTGTGCTTCATCTCTAGGGCAATTGTATCATTACACCTATAATTATTTCTTTAGACGAATTAAAGTTCTAATCGATCGACAATCTGTTTGTGTGCGTTTGATCTTTCATCATAGGGATTCGAGTGAGCATCGACTGCAAGACCGCGCAAGGCAAGTTCGAGCGCAGAGCAGTGGGGGAGTTGGATGGAGAAGGCATGTTCCAGGTCTCACTCCCACAGGAGATGGTGGAAGGTGGCAAGCTCAAAGAAGAGTGCTATGCACAGCTTCACAGTGCACAAGCCACGCCATGCCCTGCCCAAGATGGCCTAGAGTCCTCAAAGATAGTCCTCAAGTCCAAAGCCAATGGCAAGCACACTTTTGGCCTATCTGGCAAGCTCAAGATATCACCCTCTACTTGTGCCTCAGCCTTCTTTTGGCCCTTCTTCAAGTACCCTCCGTTGTCAAAGTTGCCTCCAATAAAGGATTTTGGCCACCTATTGCCTCCGTTCCCACCAAAGACCCTCCCTCCATTCCCTCCAATCTACAAGAAACCCCTCCCTCCATTCCCACCAAAGGTACTCCCTCCATTCCCTCCAATCTACAAGAAGCCCCTCCCTCCGCCAGTGCCGATCTTCAAGAAGCCTTGCCCTCCGCCGGTCCCTGTGTTCAAGAAGCCGTTGCCTCCACCAGTGCCGGTGTACAAAAAGCCATTGCCACCTCCGGTGCCAGTGTACAAGAAGCCGCTCCCGCCACCTGCACCAGTGTTTAAGAAGCCGTTGCCTCCCCCAGTGCCGAAATTCAAGCCACTCCCACCACCGATCCCCAAAAAGAAGCCATTGCCTCCCCCAGTGCCGAAATTCAAGCCACTCCCACCACCGATCCCGAAAAAGAAGTCGTTGCCTCCCCCAGTGCCGAAATTCAAGCCACTCCCACCACCGATCCCGAAAAAGAAGCCGCTCCCGCCACCTGCACCAGTGTTTAAGAAGCCATTGCCTCCCCCAGTGCCGAAATTCAAGCCACTCCCACCACTGATCCCGAAAAAGAAGCCGCTACCACCCCCAGTCCCCATATTCAAGAAGCCGCTTCCTCCACCATTCAAGAAGCCGCTCCCACCCCCGATCCCTGTATTCAAGAAGCCGCTACCGCCCCCCATCCCTGTATATAAGAAGCCACTCCCGCCGCCAATTCCCATTTTCAAGAAGCCACTCCCACCACCAATCCCTATATTCAAGAAGCCTCTTCCACCGCCTATTCCAATCAAACCGCTACCTCCCATCCCAAAGATACCTCCTTTCACTAAGCCTCCATGCCCACCACTTCCTAAGCTCCCTCCTCTCCCCACAATTCCTCCAAAGTACTTCAAACACCCCAAGCTCGGAAAGTTGCCCGTTCTACCTCCATTCCCACCTCATTCTTAGGTTCTTGCAAAACATTATTCCCTGATGATAGTAGGATGCCTTTTGATTTACCCAACACTCAAGGGTTTGCTTCAGATTGTGCTTGCTGTAATAATGACTTCGACTTCGATCGGGGAAGTACGTGGAGTTAAGAGGAAAAGTGGGAAGGCATGGTGGAGTAGAGAAAATGAGATCAGTGGATCGCTGTTCAATTGTTTTTCTCAAAGTGTTGCACGAGTGAAGTTGAATGTGTGTGGAATTGCTCATGTCACAATGAGTGAATTCCGAAGGTGTGCAATATATTAATATATCCAATATGCTTTTGGTATGGAGTTCCTTGTGCTTTGTTTTTCCCTCATTGGAAAATCATAAGACACGCATGCTGCTAAATAAATCAGTACTGTGATCTTGTTCAAGTAACACGGATTGGGAGATGATAAAGAGAGGATAAGAAGACAGAGGATCTGTATGAATGGAACATTTAAGTTAGGAGACTTCTTTTGGAAGAGATCAATCCGTTTCAAGTACCTCTACTCTATTCTAAATCTGGCTTTTAAGCCCATATTCTTTTTACAAGTGTAATTTTATTAACTAGCAAAATTTTCAAGGTCATTTTGGACCTTCTCAGTTGAAGCCTTTGAAGTCAAAAGGGCAATTTGCCTGAGACAAGGTTTTCTTCAGTTTATTTGTCTTATTGGCCAGAAGGTTGCCCTTTTTTTTTTTTTTTTGTTAGATCCACCATCTTTCTCCTCATAAATTTTTTGGTTAATACCATGAAAAACCCAAGCTGGTAAACTCGCGATAAATTTACCCCAAATGAATTTTTGACCGCCAAAAACCCCAAACTGGTACACCTATGACAAATTTACCCTTTATTAGTTTCCGTTAAATTTTACCGTCAAATTATTGAGTTGGATGACACGTGGCAGTTGATAGGTGTGCTAGTTTGGAGTTGTACCCTCTGTTTGTCACGTATGTACAAGTTTGTGATTTTTCGTGATATTAATCCAATTTAACGGAAACTAACGGAGGGTAACTTTGTCACAAATGTACCAGTTTGGGGGTTTTGGTGATTAAAAAATTAGTTTGGGGTATATTTGTCGCATGTGTACCAGTTTGAGATTTTTGGTGATAAAAAAATTAGTGTTTGGTAAATTTGTCACAGGTATACCGGTTTGGGGTTTTTCGTGGTATTAACCCTACAATTTTAGAGCCTCCTTTTTATAGGATAAAAGATAATGAAATTGCAATTTATTTATCTGTAAAGTTTATACTATTGTATAAAAATTTAATGGATTATAAAAGTTATCGAAGATTCCATACGTAAATACCTGTCCTAAGAGTGTCCAATAGTGAGTGCAAAACATAGAAGAAAAAGTTGTCACAAATTAAATTAAAATGACACGAAGAAAAAGAATAGCATTTTGATTTGCCTCGGCGCTAGCATGAAGCATCGGTGAATTCAAGAGGGTGGGAAGAAGGCCGTTTCCACAATGTTCCCCCGCCTACGCCATCTCTCTCTCTCTCTGAATTTTGCTCGATTGACTGCGACTTCTAGATCGACGATGCAATGTGGGTCGTTATCCCTCTTTGTTATGAGGAAACACTTTGATTTTTCATTTTCTTGTTGTAAATCTGATCGAGGTTTGATGATGAATAAACTAATAGATTCCTTCATGTCTTTCTCTCTTGTCGTGCTCCATTGCATCTATAATTTGAACCCTTTTCTAAGCTCGAGCTAATGAGCAGGTACGTTTTCAAACTTTTTAACTTTCTATCACGAGCCTTTATAATTTGTTTGGAAAATTATAAAATAGTGATTGTAAAAGTTGAGCTGAAAGAAACGAAGCATGAAAAATAAAAGTAGAAGGAAAGAAGGTGTTGTTTCGATTGGGTTGGAAATAAAGGGGAAAATTTTGTCAAAATAGTTCTAAATCTATTGCACTTTTATCAATTCAATTTTTAACATTTTAATTGTGCCAATTGAGTCCTAAACATTTTCACGTTTTGTCAATTGAGTCCATCCGATCAAATTTGACCGAAAATCGCTCATGTGGACGCCGGCCATACTATGTGACACAGCCGACGCTGACGTGAATAAATTTTAATAATATTTTAATATTTTATCAAACTTTTATTACTTTATTATTTTTTCCCTTTTCTCTTCTCTTGTTATCTTTTTTCTTTTTTCCTTTTCCCTCCGCCGACAATCGTTAGGCCTCGTCGATGGTCGGTGATTGGCCTCAGGTTGGTGAAGGGTTGTCCTCGCCTGAGGCGGAGGGAAAAAGGGAAAAGAGGAAAAGAAAAAAGAAAAAAAGAAAGAAGAAAGAAAAGAGGATAAAAGGAAAAAAAGAAAAAAAGTAAAAAAGGAAAAGAGAAGATAAGAAAAAAAAGGAAAAATTAAAAATTAACAACAAATTTGAAAAAATATTTACGTTAACGCCGCTCATGCCATGTAGGATGGTCGACGTTCACATCATTAATTTTTAGCCAAAGTGGACTAAATGGACTCACTCAATTGGCATAATTAAAATGTTTAAGACTGATTTGGCAATAGTGCAATAAGTTTATGACTTTTTGGACAATTTTTCCAAAATAAAGGTGAATAAAATGTTGGGATTTGCATTTGTTTTGTTGGGAAAAAATTAATTTAGCGAAATTACACATCTGTCTCTCCAACTTTTATTATATAAGTCTTTGAGCTTGTAATTTTGTGCAAAAGGAAGGGCAAAATTGGCATTGGGCACTTAGATTCTTATACATCAATTTTTTTTCTTTATCTATCTCAGTCAAGAGAAATTTCGCCATTCATCGCTCTTTTTCTTTCCATACCAATGTATACTTGGGGATTGGAACTTGACTCAAGCTCGATTGAGTTTCAAAAATTTGGCTCGAGCTAGATTTGGATGGAAAATCCAAGTCCTCAAATTCTACTGGGTATATTTGAATTATTTATGAACTCGAGCTTGAGCTAAAGTAAAATAAACTTGGACATTTTTTCGCCCATTCACGTGTACGAGGGTTAATATATACTTTACCAACTCATGTGTCTTTTTTTGTAAATGTTCTTGACAAAGACAACAAAAGCTCGATTAGACTCGCGATCTTGTCGAGCCGAATATAGGTGAACATAAACGGGACTCGACTAGATGCTCGAATGGTTCAAGCCCGAGTTTCGATATGAAATCTGGCGAGTTGATCTCGAGTAATTATCGAGTCAGGACCAAAAGTAGTAGCTCGACTCATTTTCGCCTTGGTCTAATCCGAGGGGAAACCATAAAAAAAAAAGGAAAAAGAAAAAGAAAAAGAAGGTAATGACAAAATATGAAAGCATGTTTTTGTCCAATATTAAACCGGTAAAAACAGAAAACCAACGAAGAGAACACGAGGTTTCGGTTTGGGCCCAGAGAGCGAGCGAGAGAGAGAGACGATCAATCCAGAAAAGATAAAGGTCCAATCTTTCTTCTTCTTCTGCCACTGTTCTTCTTCCCCGGATAACCCAAAATCCAAAAAAGGCTCGAGCTTTATCGCGATCTCACCACCATCTCGTGCCAGTCCGCATCGAATGGATCACCCGCCGAGACCGGATTCTCTGTCTCTCCTTCAATCCGCGCGAACCCCAAGTGCAGCCCCGGAGCCCCGCGTTCCCTCCACTTCCAGGTTCTGCCACTCCCCGACCCTTTCCAAATCTTTCCAATTCGGTTCTTGACTTGCTTGCGTGGGTGGATTTTGGACCGAGATTTCGTCGATTACGAGGATGGTTTAGGAAAAAGAATCCTGGGTTCTTTTCTATAAGGGTATGGTTGAATTGCTTTGGTGGGTTTAGCATGCACTTCGAAGGCAGAACGTTGCAATGTCCAGGCACTAATTTTGGGAACTTTCTTGATCGTTTTGTTGTGGTGGCGAGCTCTAAGTCAATAGGAATTTGACTTAGAGGTTGATTAAGCTTAGCTTTTTCTTTTTATAGTAAAACTCTTTGTTCTGTTGAACTATCTGGATTTTACTAAGACTAGGGGCAAAAGAAGAGGGGAAAAAAAAAAAAAGACCAGACGAAGTAAGCTAAAGGGTGCTTCATAATGGAGACACCCGTTTTCACCCCACTAAATGGAGACATTGGTTTTTAATGCATTGAGTTTTTCCCCCCCGTGCAGCAGGGATGAAGTTGCTGTGCGGAAAAGTCAGAAGGCGGACCGTGAGAAATTGAGGAGGGATCGACTGAACGACCAGTTTATCGAGTTGGGAAATACGCTAGGTGATGCTTGTGACCTCTGTTAATTGTGAAGGAGTGTTGATGTGTGTTTCTTGTTTTTTGTGCTCTTACTGCATTAGGTGTATAAGTATAGTGCCTGTAGTTACTTTATAGTCTTATTTGATGAATGCATCATTTCATTTGTTAATGTTTGCGATAAGTAAGACTTTCTTCTTCTCTTTTTTCAACCTTGAATTGTCAAATTTTTCCTCTTGAGCGATGAAGGGCCATCGATCCTGATGACGACTTCCCTCTACCTTTGTAAAAATACCGTTATCTTACTCTGTTGATGGATTAGTTTATCTCTTGGTGTCTCCTCTGCATTTCGAAAGCACTGGCTCTCAGTGCTTTACTTGATTGGCTAACAGTCTGACAACACAATTATTTATAGGTTGCACATAAATATTCTTATATTTCGATCTAGGCTGTTGATGTTTTTAATTCCTATCTAAAATTCCCAAGTTGATAGTGTAATCTTTTGAGATGTTTTTAATCAATCCCTTTGTGTACGTGTTATAGCGATTTGGCTCTTCTTAGCTAGTTAGTCTCTACCTAGATTTAAAGCATGTGCTGCCTTCTGTCTTTTATCCTCAGTCTCTCTTTTCAGTTTTTTGTTGGCTTTCCCATCGGTGCATACTACCTCACATTCACCATTTACTTGTCAAGGATCTTTATCTAGCCTTTGTTCCTTTATATCTTCCCCAGAGAAAGTGCCTGGTTCTCACAAGTCTTTTCTGAAAATTGTAGAAAATATAGCTTTGTTTAGTATGCTTGCCACATCCTACTTCAGCTTTCTACTCTGCCGATGTTTTTTTCTAATTTGCTCTTTTCATTCATACAATAAACATAGACAGTTAACTCAGGCACTGACTTAAAAAGGAAATGACACTCAACTCTAGTTGCATTTAGTTAATGCAGAAAAGCTTTCACTTTCTGACAAAAAAAGAAAAAAGAAAAGACTTTGTCATTGGTATCTTCATTGTTTCCAAAAGCTAGACAGTTAAAGCAAAGACTTTGGCGATTAATTTAGCAAAGTCTAATTTATCAATGTTTGTAGGATGCTCAAAGCACCTTTCATAATGGTTTTGTCCCATATTTAGTTGATAGGGTCTGAAATTAATATAATTTGAAACTTCCCAAGTTGTGTGCTTTCATACCCTAAGAAGTTAGAAGCACAGTTTTATCTTTTGGTTTTCTCAACCCTTGAAATAGAAGTTTGTCAAACTATTCCTGTTCCTACTGCTGTCTTGGCACTGAAGCTGTAAATTTTCCTCCCTCAAACAATCTGAATCTTGAGCTGAATGCTGATAGTTTAATGATATTTCCCATAAGCAAATGTCTTTAGCTTTTGGTTTTCAAGCTGCTTTACCCTGCGTGCACATCTTTGGAGTGGCAAAAGAAAAACTCACTATAATAGTATCTTAAGTGAAAGCTACTTCCACTTGCAGATCCTGATAGGCCAAAAAATGACAAAGCGACAATTATATCAGATACTATACAACTGCTGAAGGATTTGACCGCTCAGGTGAACCAACTCAAAGCTGAATATAGTACGTTCTGTGAAGAATCTTGTGAGGTAATCTTATGCTTAGTCTCTTTTTATTTAAGGTTAAGAATCATAGGGCACCTTGTGATATGTTCTTTTCCCTCTTAAAATAGTTGACGCAGGAGAAAAATGATCTCAGAGAAGAAAAGGCCTCTCTAAAATCTGAAATTGAGAGCCTTAATGCTCAGTATCAACAGAGAGCTAGGGCCATGTATCCGTGGCCTGTTATGGATCACTCAGTGGTTATGGCCCCACCTTCATACCCATATCCGGTGCCCGTAGCTGTGCCTTCTGGTCCCATTCCTGTTCATCCACCTATTCAGCCTTACCCTTTCTATGCAACTCCCAATCCCAGTGTCATCCCTAACTGCCATTCGACTTTGCTTCCATTTGCAACACCTAACATGCAGGTTGAGCAGTTGTCAGGCCATTATGCACCTCCGCTTATGCAGCTGGGAAATCAGTCCCTTGTCTCAAGCATTAAAAAAGACAAAAGCAAGGAGAAGAAGCATGAAAAGTCTGGTAGTTCAAACGATGTCTCAACAGACTTGGAGCTAAAGACTCCTGGGTCTGCGACAGACGATGTTGGTTTTTGTCCTTGTCGAACCATTTCTGTAAAACCTGTCACTATGGAAAGAAAAAACTCTAATTCATTGTTGTGCAGGATTCATCATCACCACATAGATCATCTATGAAATCTACGAGGAAGGATGGTAACACTGCAGAAAGGAGTTCTTCTAGTCATTGTTCATCGCCTCGTAGTGTACAAGATAGCTCTTCCAGTAGCATAGTTGGTGGCTTGAACTCAAAGGCAAACGATTAAATGTTCAGCTGCAGACGTGCCCATAAAATGAAAAGCAAGGTTAGTGGTCAAGTCCGCTTTTTCCCAGCTCTCCCTTGTATAGTATGCGTAGATCTTTAGGTTTTATCTCTTCATGTCGGGTATTAGTCTTCACGCAGCTGTCTCAGCAGAGTTCCCTTGGAATTTCACCCATTTGTTGCTGTGGAGTTGTCATCTAATGCCCCCTAATCCAAATGGCGTCAAACACAAACAAGACTCACCACTTATGCTGTTTAGAGGCATGTACGCAGATGCAGTGGCATTCGAGTATTGTGTTTTGCAAAGAAGCTTCTGACCTGCATGTCGAGGACACTACCGAAACGCCAAGTCTTGGTTTGAGCTTCAATTGTGAAGTTTTCGCTTTGCCGACATGAGAAAGGGAACAAGGGGCTGGCACCTCATTGGTAATGGCAAATGTAATGTCTATGCAATCATGCCTTGGCTGGTTTAGCAATGGCGCTGCACCCGCTTGCTTCGGTGCTGCTGGTTTGTAAAATGGATGTCTTTCGAATTCAAATTCCATTTTCGCTTCCTTCTACTACCATTACCTATACGATTTCAATTTACATTTTCTACGTCACTTCTTGTCTATAGCATTTACGTCAAAAGTTGGACATGATCAAGTATTAGCAATATCATTTAGTAAGTGCATGCTGAGGTTCGGACAGATCTCGAGTTAAAAGGAAAGGGAAGGCAGTTGAATTTGAACTGTCTTACAGTGGCCTAGACTCATATTGGTTGGGCGGTCAATCACATATCTAGAAACGTGGGATGTTACATTCTACCTCACCAAGAAACTCTTCGGTTTTTCAGCATTGCAACGATAATAACACAATGATTGGCTGTACTTTACATGTCATCCAAAGTATGGGAAATTTGTTCAGAAAGTCATAAATTTATTCTACAGTAATCGATATAATTTTAAATATTTCAATTATGCCAATCTAATCCTAAACTTTATAATTGTGCCAATTTAAACATAAATCTTTTGATGATTTGTCAATTTAATCTTAAATTTGCGATAATTTGTCAACGTAGTCCTTTCGGCCAATTATCCGAATAATAGGTTTATGATTGAATTGGCAAAATTTCAAAAGGTTTAAGACTAAATTTGTACAATTAAAAGGTTTAGGATTTTTTGGATGATTATCTCTTCAAATAACAAGTCTACATAATTGCTTTGTTAGTCGTACCAAACATGTTTTACTGAATTTATTAGCATGGAAAGCAGTGTTCCGGAAGGAAATGGACTTCAAGAAATCACGAAGGTCAATAGCATGATTGGAATGCAAGCTCTTTCTTTGCTTTGTCCAACAAATATAAATTGTTGATAGAACGAATCCAACAAAGCACCAGTGGTCTAGTGGTAGAATAGTACCCTGCCACGGTACAGACCCGGGTTCGATTCCCGGCTGGTGCACTCTTTTGTGTTTTTTCGCAGAACAAAACTCACTGAAGCTTTTTCGGTAGGAATCCATGTGTGTTCCGTTTCCGTACACCCCTTTTTGGTCGATGCATGGTTGAAGAAAAGCATGGTATCTCTGGCGCTCGCATCATCTTTGAGTGCAACTCACTCCACATATCATAAACTCCAACCACACTCCAAGCATTTATCCCAGACACACTCCCCAACCATCAACACTTCCTGAAACAATCCCAACATATCTCTCAGACCCTGGTCATTTCACAAAGAGAGAGAGAGAGAGAGAGAGATCACATTCACATGGATTGGCTTCAACCAAGAAGGAGAGGCCCGGAGTGGAAGCAGGGATGGACCAACCAGACCTTCGCCTCGATGTCCGCCCCTCCCCTCCACCTGCTCTTCGTCTTCTTCATCGCCGTCTCCCTGCTCTGGTTCTCCGGCCGCGCCCGCTACGAGGCCCAGCTCCGCTACTCCGTGCTCAACCTCCAGCTCCTCCTCTTCCTCCTCCCCCTCCTCGCCTTCCTCTTCGTGTACATCTACTCCGGGGCCTCCCGGCTCAACTACCTCCTCTCCTGGCGGCAGCTGCGGCATCCCATGCAGCCCCACCTCCCTGGCGGTGTCGGTGGGGGCGGCGGCGGCGGAGGAGGGGGCGTGCCCTGGGGTGTTGCCATCTTCGTGGTGCTGCTCCTGGTGATGGTGTCGTACCACCGGTCGTTTCAGTCCATGTGGTTCGGGCCTCTGCGAAGGTTGGACTGAGCGGGTGTTATATGTGAAGTCCAAATTGCGCAGGGAAAGAGAAACGGGGAGAAGTTGATTTCATAGGCAGCCGAACTCTGTAGCGATGAGACAACCAGTGCATGTACGCACAAATAGAGATTGTTTTCTTTTTTGTATTATAGTTGTTATTGTTCGAGGTTTGTTGATATTATATATCCTTGGAGTTGCACATATAAATTAAATCAAGTTCCATTGACATGTCCATTGGAGCTGATATGAGTCTGACGTAAAACAACTTGAGGGTAGAATTCGTATTTCGAAAAAAAAAAAACTCATTACACAATTCTATTTATTTCGTGAAAAATGAATGATTTGAAAAATATTTTCATAAAAATAACCGCCTGTATCATTTGAAATATTTAGTTAATAAAAAATGTCTTATTATTTACAATAATTTATATTTAAATATTTTCGTAGATGATGAAATTTTTTTTTTCATTTGTTCATTTGTTGCATATGATACAAGCGATTATTTTTATGAATTTTTTTTTTCAAATTATTCATTTTTTACAAAACAATTGAAACTTCAAATGTCTTCTCGTGTTCTTCATTTTCATAGTTCTTAGTGCCAATCATGAGTTGATTGCCCCCCGGTAGCTACATGTTTTTTCACTTGGACACTTACCGACTCCAATGGACATGTCAATTTTACCTGGATTTGGAACTAGTGCAAATTAAATAAGTTATGCGCCAATAGGCATGCGGTCCTATTGGTAAAGGTGGGGAGGTGGGAACGCTAGTATCATGGGTGCAGGGTTCGACTCCCGCGCTCTGCAAGAAGCAGAGCAAAAAAGAAAAAAGTTGTGCAAATGTATGGACTTGATCAGACAAATTACAGAAATTTTAAAGACTTATTTGGTGGAATAAATGCATAAATAAACATATCAAAAGTGGATTTTTACTATTACAATGAGACGTGGAGACTCTCGTGAGCATAATGAAAGTAGTTTTTTTTTATCACACCCTAATGAAAGTAGTTGGCCATTGCTAATTATCATGTAATACTTTGAAGATGACCAAATGCTCATTGCTTTAAATGACGGCACTTTGAGTCAAGATCCCTTATGCCAATAGGCATTTTCAAAAGGCTTGCACATTCTAACCTCCAGAATGTTAGAAAATCTAATACAAAAACTTAAACATATTGATGGAAGGAGACTGACCATAAAGAGCATATTCTCACGTGCAACAGACTTTAGAGCCCCAAAATCCATTCCAATTGTTGAACCAAACACCCTCAGATAGAGCCCCAAAATCTTTTCCAAATGCTGATCCAAACACTCCCGAATTAGATGCGGCACATGAAATTTGAATGATGGGGGTAGATACACATACATAAAAGGGATAACACTTATTCTAATACCATATCAGAAAGTTCAACGAAAAAGCTTAAATTTATAGATGAAGGGTGACCACATGAATATAAACATAATATAGGACACGTTATCAAGCGATGTGAAATAATGTTTTAACACAAAAAAAAGAATAAATTATTTTCATTCAATCTAGTTTATATGTTAAACAAGTCAAATACTTGTGCTTTTTGGTGAAGAATATTTGTCAGTATATGTTTTGTTTAATGAACAACTAATTTTTTTTTTATAATGATCGTTTCATTCTATAATTTCATAAGAAGAGTTATTGCTCAAATCAAGATTATCATGTAAAATCAAGCCGGTGGTCATTTTGCTTTTTTCTAATAAATTCATGATCATAAGCATTCCTTTTTATCAATGCCATTGGGCATGCTAAGAAATGGTAAAGATTTCATTTATTCGACCTGTAGCTAAACACGTGCATTTACATGATTATTTGCATACAATTTCACAACCCTAAGGTTGAGTTTGGAATGCGTGGAGGTGAGCCAAATAGATAGAAAATTTTAAATTTTCCTAATTTTCTCCCCCACGAAAATGCCCAAATTTCCATCATTCGCATGAACGCTATGTGAAGTCTTAATCTATTAAATTTGGCCAAATTTAGGACTGAATTGGCATAATAAATAAGGAAAATTTAAAATTCGGCCAAATAATTCACCCAAATTTTCATCAATTATACACTCTTTGATCAAAATAAGGATGTGTTTGTTTTGCAGAAAATAAACAATTTGGAAAATATTTTCCTAAAAATGAATGCTTGTATCGCCTAAAATAATTAATCAATAAAAAATATTTTTAGTACCAACAACAATTTATGTTGAAACACTTTTGTGGATGATGAAAATATTATTTGTTCATTTTCATATTTGTAATCAATACAAGCGATCACTTTCAGGAAAATATTTTTTTTAAATCGTTCATTTTCCGTGAAAAAAACGGAGCTTAAGTAATGCATGTGTGGGCGAGTGATTCTGGAAATGAGTTTTATCGGGACTATGTGTATGGATGGGTGTGTATTTATGGCATGCAAGTTGAAGGGTAAAATGGAAAATGAAGGATAGAATACAATCGACACCAAGGTATAAAGGACGTGCGATCAACCGAGGATGAAGATCGGGATCGATGAAGTTCACCACTAAGGCTTAAAGGACAAGCCACCCGTCAAGGGTAAAAGACTTCGGGATATGAGAAGCTCACCATCAGAGCCTAAAGGATAAATCACCAGTCGAGGATAAAGTACTTCTTGGTTCACCACCGAGGAGTAATCTAGATAAAGAAGCCGATTTATGAGTTATCCACTTTCTAAAGATAATCGCTCCCACAAAAGAAAATCTCTTGTATTTTCATTCAACAAAGTCTGGTCCCCATTACAATGGAAGACTCTCATCTATTTATAGGAAAACTAGGACATAGAAAATAACCAAACATTAAAAGACATGGGAACTACCCAACCATTTAAGGACTTCAGAACTAAGGACTAAGGACATTGACTCTCGAGACTCACAAAACAATTAGGACATAATGCAATGATGACACATGGAGACTTGAAATCTTGAGCCTTGCATTTTATCTCCCAAAATTCGTGCTCCGGTCTTGATGAGACGATAACCACCTCAATAAATCAGCAAATGTCCTAGGAACTTGCTTGGAACAATCTCCCATCGATATGCTATCAATCCAAATTGAAATCAGTATTAATCTTGGTGAAATGATATTGAATATCTGAGCGCCTAAAGAAGAATCGACCACTTTTTTAATTGATAGCCTCCTTATCGATGCTCAATCGAAGCAATTTATGACTGAATTCTACCTTAGGTTGAATGAGCATCGATAGTGTCAATTTTATCGATGGATTTAGGTTGGTTGCTCCCGCATCATTAAGTGAGAAATTAAATTTGGCCCAGGTATTTTAGTCAAGATTATCTTAAAATGAACAAAAAATATAGAAATTTTATGGGTAATTAATAAATATAATTATTGATTAAGTTCAGTCCCGTGAAAAGAATCCTCAAACGAAAAGAATTTGATACAAGAAATAGTACGTACAAACCTAAACTGAGCTATACTCATGTGGCTCCGTGCTTAAAGATACAAATGATGCATACAAAGTACCATAATTGATCATAGTACACATGACTTTTCCACTAAATAATGTATTTATAAAGAAGTCCGGGGGCACGAATGAGCTTTCTACGAAAGAATTTTTTTTTAAAAAAAGTTTGACGTACAAAAGGAAATTATTACTCAAAGAGAAAAGAAAAAGACAAAAAGAAGAGACAACGAGGAAGAATAATTTATCACCAAATCACACCGTAAACTTAAAATGCACGTAAGTATCGTCCTTTTAAATTAACTTCGTGAATCAATCTTAACAAGCACAACTAAAGGGATAAGTATATTGAAAGTCGTAAAACTTGTCACGAAACTGCAATTGAGTCCGAAAACTTTTAAAAAGAATAATTAAGTCCTAAAACTTATCGCAAATGTGCAATCAAATCCTAAAACTTTCAAAAGTGCAATCAAGTCTTAAAATTTGTTAAATTGGTCCAGTCAAGTCTGTCTGTTGATTGCACTTTTTGAAAGTTTTTATGACTTGATTGCAGTTTTGTGACAAGTTTTAGGACTTGATAGGACTTGATTGCACTCTCGTGACAAGTTTTAGGACTTGATTGCACTTTTTGAAAGTTTTAGAACTTAATTGTACTTTCTTGATAAGTTTTAAGGCTTTTAAAACTTAATTATATCCTGAATTTTCTAACGTGTAAGGTGATTGTAGTACACCAAATATTGAATATGACCTATTTTGCTTTTTCTCTTCTTACAGCTTTAAAAAAAAAAGACAAACACAAGATCAAAGGAGAAAAAGGAAGGAAGGCAGGGAGCACAAGATTAGAAAAATAACAATTGAAATCTTCATGTATAATGTTAAAGATAGTTTAGATATTTATCTTGATTTTCCGTAACAATTATAATTAATCAGGGATATGCACAATTAAATAATATATATGCACAATGCGGAGAGATACGGAGAATCAAGAAAATATTATAATTATCTCTAATATATAATTCTGATGAAACGATAGACCGAACCAATCATAGGATGTGAATTACATAAAAAATCTATGTTTTTTTTAAGAAGATACTTTAAAGTCATATAACTTCTTTAGACGCGATTGATAGGTTTTAATAGAGCCGGTCCATGTAATACTTAGCCCCACGATTTGACAATAGGAAGAGCCGAGAAACTTCATGGAGCAAGCACCAGCAAGAACGTGGCCACTTCGTGATGGCCACTCAATTTGCGACGGGGACCACGATTCACAGAGGTCGGCTAGGCTTATCACGTAACAAACAAAATCATGTCACGATCGGTTGTGGTGACCTTTGCTTTCGAGTGACCACACAAAAACATTATCCTTATTACTAGGAAAAGGAAAGGAAGGGAGGGAAAGGAAGAAAAGTGAGTGCATATGAGATGGACCCGGAGGAAACGCTTTGATTGATTTGATCAATTAAGGAGGACTTTTGTGTAATCTTAAATTTCTAGCTTTAGGACGTGTTTGTCTGAGTAAAAGAATTGTTCGCGAATTAGTTGTCCGGTCATGTGTTCAGTTTGCTTAAAATGATTAGTTAATGAAAAACCATTTACGGTCAAAGAAAATATGTATGTTTAATGTTAGGAAAATGAATTCTCTAACCTGAGGAAGGGAAAGTATTTTCCTGAAAAATGGTCTCACAGAAAGTATTTTCCTTTATCATGAAATTTTTCCCGAAACAAATATACCCTTATTATGAAATACATATGCCACTATAGAAGATCCGTAACCAAACCAGCTACTCTGCTAATCATTTATATTACATGTGTACCTACCAATTGCATCACGCGACACATGTATGTAGGGACGCTCATGCGAAATTCATTTAGTCCAGTGAGCAGGTGGTTATGTGATGATATAAGTACTCTAACGCTGCGCGCGCGACGCTGTTTAAGTATGTTGATAGTACTCGTCATGCAACTTCTCCTCAGCCAGATATATGCAAGAAATGTATAAAACATCGATTTGGAAGACGGAAATTGAAGTCTGACGGCGGTTATTTAGAAAATTCATTGAGTTGATGAAATCACTATGCACCGTCGGCAATTTTATGGTTTGATTTAATGTTTTTGTTTTTCTGCAGTACATTTTGCTTTACTCACTTTTGGGTTTTGAGTGGAAGATCTAATTATCATGATATTGTATGAAAATTTCAGAATAGGTCATTTCTTTAGACAAGACTTCAAAATCTGCCGTATGCTTTTGTCGTACCCAGGAGAAATTGTCCAATTATTCCTACCCTTATTATATGGATGCTAATTCAATTTTCAATTTTTAATTCTGCCAATTGACCTAAATTTTTGTGCAAAATTTCAATGTAGTCATTCCAAAAAATTTTCGTTAGCAATCATTAACGTGGCGATATACCACGTAAGATGATCGACGATGATTGGACTATCACGTTAGCCATTTTTGCAAAAATTGGCCAAAAGAACTACATTGAATATTCATACAAATGTTTAAGAATAAATTAACAAAATTAAAAAGTTTAGGACTAAATTGACATTCGCACACTAAGTTGAGGACTTATTAGGTAATTATCTTTTTAACTTACTCTAGGATTGTAATATTCCTTCATAAATTTACTATCCTAATTTTATCCCCTAAAAAAACATGAAGTAACTCTCTAGGAGGTAATGAAAAGAATTTAGTATCCAATCACTTATCGATTCTAAGATTAGCAAGCCGGTCAGCAGAGCTTAGCAGTCTTCAAATATCTTTAAGTAAGCAAAGCTAGCATTATTAATCATAAGCTCTGGACTTACAAGATCAATGATGGCTTTAGAGTCAATCTCACTGATGATGAAAACCAAATTGTCGTGCGAAGTTGAGCCTCAATCAAAAAGCCCGTAGTTCTGTTTGTGGCGACGAACATATTCCTACAAAATGCGGCAAAATCACCAAGTGAGTCACCCCTTTCGTTTCTGAATAAGCTTTTTGCACCAACAAGTCATGGGTTGCTTTTAGAGGCTTGATCAGTACTTAATTTAATCCACCTAAAAGGTGGGGGATCCCATATGACCAAATTGGAGAAGGGCGTGATCCACTTAACCTTGAGCTATTTACAGATGAAACTTTAATAATTTCTTTTGTCTATGATTGAATTACTTGTACCCAATTCGAAAGAAACAAAGTTGTCCTGCAAAAAAAAAAAAAGAATTGTTTCTCCATTACCAAAAAAGCCACACGCTCACTCCATATGTCGTAATTTTTCTTAATCAATAATAATAACATCGGCATTCTTACACTTAGTGTGTTTCCTTAAAAATTCGCAAGTCATTATCTTCTCAAAACCATCTGACCGTTGGAATTAGTTTTTTCTTTTGATCCAACGATCCAGTTTAGATACAAGACCGGTCCCATAAATTAGTGGATTGGACCGTAGTATTTCCCCTAGCTAATGCAACGCCAAACGTCTCACGTCAAATAGGAAAATGTCGTTGCAAATTATTACTTAGAAGAAAAAGGTCGTGGTTAGTGGAAATCCATCTATACTTTCTTTAGGAAATGACCAAGTTGCTCAGGAAAAAAACAAAAGAAATGAAAAACGGAACTAATTGCTCAGACCTACACAGGTCAAGGAGAAAATCAGTTTCTGGATGTTGACCATTCTCTAACTTCTGGTTTGAATTCATCCACCTCTCTCTTCTTGCATCTTTCTTAAACTTAAAAACAAATTCTTGTGTTTGTTGTTCTCTTCTACTAAAATCATCGGTAAGAGATGCTCTTGGAATTTTTTTTTTAATTTAGCTGCTTAGATTCCAATAGATCAACATATATATCACCCAACTTCATCATGTAACTCTGGTATTGGTAATTTACAGGCTTCATATTTTGCAGATTACACAGAAAAAAAGAGATTACTGATCCATCTCATCAACCTCTCTCTAATCTCATCAACCTCATACAACACTCTATACATCAGTTTTATCCAAATTACAGAAACCCCACTTCTTGATCACCCATCCAAACGAAAAAGAGCAAAAAGAGAAGACAAAATAAACACCTCTAGTTTAGCTTTCACATGATCATCATCATCTTCAAAAGCTTCAACCAAACCAGCTCTCAAGAAAGCTAGACTGATACTGGAGCAAAACCAGGAGGAGCACGATGAGAGCCGCCACGCCCCACGGCGAGCTACCCTCGGACGGCGAGCTGTTGATTGCCCTGCGCCGGCCCCAAGGCGACCCGGTAAAGAAGCTCTGTGGATCATCCATAGTGGATAGGAGCTTCACAAGCAGTATCAGAACGATAGGCGCTGCCAAAAGAATCCAACTCATCTGCTCTTCGGCGGTTTCGACCGCGGATTCATAGCTGAAGTACCAAGATATGCCTAGAAAGATGGAGATCACAGCCAGGATCACAAGGACTGGATATGGTAGAGGGTTGAGAGTGAAGACATCGGAGATTGAGGAGGCTGTGCTTCTTCTCCCATAGACCATAATGAGAGGCTTCTTTTTTTTCTTCTTGTTTTCTTTCTTATTTAATATTTTGTGGGAGAGGGGTTAGGTAGTTTTAATTTTATAGCAAGAGGAAGAGGGTCCTCAAGAGTGGTGGCCCCAGAAGTTGCATTTATAAGGAAAGATTGGACTAAAAAAGAAAAGACCTTTCTTTTTATAAGCAAGAGGTTTATTATATGAGAGAGCCCCAGCAGTTGATGGTTCTATTGGACTCTCCGGATGTATATGGTAACCACAATAAATGATGAAAATTGCGTTTGATAACTTCTAACCACACACAATTTAGTTATTTATTTAAGTAAAAAATCACTTAATGCAATAAATGAGAAGATGATAAAATATTCAATGGAAGTTAAAATCTTATCAATCATATTGTCAAAACCTGTCAATGATATTCGCTATTCCATATATAATAAAAAGCTAATTAGATTTCCTATTCAATAAACATCTATTATTAAAAGAAATTATTTCGACTTTTACCTTTTAAAGGATTGAGAATTAAATATTCACTTCTTAATTTTTCAGCATTTATTTTTCAGTTTTATAATATCAGCCATCTTTTCTTCATATTTAGTGGAATGCCTTTTTCATGACCCAAATAGATGTATGTATCAAGAAATAGGGATGAAAAGATGTCACAATTGTTGTAAAATAATCACTAGAAAAATAAGTGAGAAACAGTTAAAAAAACCCTGGTTAAAGTGTCAGTACCTAGTATACGGAGAAAGCCAGCCCAAATAATCAACTAGTCAAATAGGAGAATTATAAATTTGAGCTGCTCACACGCTCGAGTGTTTCCTAACCTAAATTATGCTCAAATCTACCGTTTTTGTGAAGAAAATTAATAAGTTTAGGTATATAATTCATAGCACAAATCCACGGTATCCAGAGCTCTATGCGCGACTTAAAGACTTCTCTGCGCGTTTACTGAAGAAAACTTCCCATGCCGCTGGAAGACGTCCTTATTACCCATTTATTTTGTTGTGCGGTTTTCTCAAGAAGAAACAAAAATAGATAATGCCAACAAAACATATTATATGCATGTGCCCCTACCTTAATATAATTTAGGCAAATTCTTCGACACAGAATTCTTCCAAATAAGAGAGTCTGATGTTGAGATCTATTTCTTACTAAATTCGATTTAACAAACCGATCTATATTTTTCGATTGGATCGAGTTTCGTAATTGGTTTAAATTCGAGATATAATTTAACAATTCTTCACGTTGGCTCGGCATTTACAACCAAATTATAGTGGTTATCATCTATGCCAGCTCTCCCAATGTCTCGATGGACGTTCATTTTTTACAAATGCCAATTGAGTCCCAACAAAATTCAATTTTTGCAAAAAACAAAGAGAGGCTTAGTCATTGTGTTTGCTGGGTGCTTTGTTGTTGCGATTTTCTTCACAACAATCTTACCCTTTGTCACTACATTTTGGATAAAATAGTACTTGATATTGATATGCTTCATTCGCTTGTGATAAATCGGATAATAAGTCAGGTATATTGTATCTTAGCTGTCACATGTATAACAATGCTTTTAAGCTCCAACACAAAATCTGAGAGCAAATCTCTTAGCCATATCGTCTCCTTGCCATAAAAGTCATTTCTATGTACTTTGTCTTAGTTGAAGACAAGGCAAAATGATCCTCCTATGAGGACACCTTCCAACTTATTGCACCACCTGCCAGCATAAACACGTATCTCACTAAAAACCCGTACTCATCCAAGTCGCCAGCATGATTTGAATCCATATAACTTGTGGTCTCTTTGCTATTGTCGTCCCTCCATTACACTATACGAATATTCATTCTCCCCTTCATATATTTGAGGATCCAATTCATAGCCTCCTAATGAGTTTTACCAATGTGCTTCATGTACGGCTAAGAACTCTCACAACTTGTAAAATGTCAGTCTTAGTGCATACATGGCATACATAATACACTGTAATAGAATAACTGTTCCTCCTCCTCGATCTGTTGTAATAACTTATCAAAAAGTTTCAAGTACTTGGCTAAAGGTGTACTCACATGTTTCTTTGATTGCATGTTAAAACGTGCTACAATCTTCTCAATATGTTTCATTTGAAACAAGAGCAAATCTCCTCCAGTCCTATCACGTGAAATCTCCCTATCCAATATTTTCTTTGCAGAACCTAAATATTTCATCTCAAACTCAGCACTCAAGTGTTGCTTCAACATCCAACATATCCTTAGCTGCTATCAATATATAATCAACATATACTAACATAAAAAATCAAAGTCCCATCTTTCAATCTCATATAGTAAAAATAGCTATCCAACTAACTTTTTGAATAGTCATGACTGGTCACGAAAGCATCAAAATGTCTATACTACTACTTAGAAGACTGTTTCAGCCGGTCTTCCTTACTTGCAATAGCATATCTCTTTGTTCGCCTCTCGAAAATCAACTTCTCCAACTCAACAATGAGAAAATTCGTTTTCACATCTAGTTGCTTCAACTCGACATCTTGTGTAGCAACTAAAACAATTAATATTCGAATAGAAGTATGTTTTACCATATGAGAATACCTCGTTGTACTCAGTGCCCTTCCGTTGTGTATGCCCCTTCGTAATAAGTCTCACATTATATTTCGCTGCCTCGATATAAAAAATGCCCTCTTTCCGTTTGTAGATCCATTTGCACCCAACAATCTTCTGGCTCTTGGGTACTTTGCTTAACTCCCATGCTTGATTCCAATGGAGTGAATCCATCTCTTCGCTCATATCACTAGCCTATGCAACGACTCAACACCAACCATTATCTCATAATAAGACAAAGGCTCATCTTTTTCCACCTCATCACTTCTAGTCAATGCATAAACAATACCTACATAACCATAACGTACCAATGATTTAATTTGTCTTCTCTATCTAAACGCGGCAATGTGATGTGGCTATACTGGTTGTTTGGTATTACTGATTTGATTTATTTTCACACTTATTGTTAATGCATAAGCAAGACCTATATAAGCATAATGTACCAAGGATTTAATTTGTCTTCTCTGTCTACCCGCGATAGTGTGATGCGGCTTTACTAGTTGTTTTGTCTTCTTTGTCTACTCGCGGCAGTGTGATGTGGTTCTCCTTGTGATGCAACTCTACCGCAACCTCATTTACAGTCTCAACCTCTATTATCTCTAAGGACTTTGGAGTCTCCACTTGCAGCTCCACTTTGTTATCGACACCATGATCCATTTTCTCTGCTAGTAGTGTCTCAAGACTCCTCATTTGAAGCATAGTAGTTTCGTCAAAGATCATGTCTCTGCTAATTAGAAAATCGAGTGATTTGGGATCATTGCACCACAACCAATAGCCTTTCACCCCATGTGCATAATCCATAAATATGCACTTCTTCACTTTCGATTCAGGCTTAACATCCCTCGCATGAGCACATGCAGGCATATGAATACTCATAATCTGGATTAATCAACATGTTTCCTTGACCATATTAGTCTTTGAGTGGATAGCAGATGATGGAGATAAATTAACTAGGTAACATGTCGTGTTTCATTATTTCGGCCCAAAATTCATTGCCTTGTCATTCATGGGATAACATGTACCAAGCTCGCTAAAGTAGAGTTCAATTCTTTATGTTATGCGATGCCATTTTATGTCGTGTCCTGGGCCCTATGCGAGTCTCACAATCCATTCTTTCTAGCACAATTGGCAAATATGTAACCACAAAACTCTTTACCATTATTTGTTCTAAGGCATTCGATCTATTTACTTGATTGTTTCTCAATCAGTACCTTACTTGAATAATTGTTGATGAATGCTAGCATATATCGGGCACCTCTTTTTGAAGAAACCGGAGATGGGCCCTAGATGTCTGAGTGAATATAATCAACTGGTTACTTCGTCGAATGAATAACTGTAATAAATTAATCTGGCGTTGCTTCCTAAAGATCTAGTGATCACACAAGTCTAGTTTCCTTATCTTTTGACCCTTCAATGACCCTCTCTTGCTTAGCATCGTCATACTTGCCTCACTTATGTGCCATAACCGGATATTTTGTACCCGAGTCAAGTTTGATTCTAAGTTACGTGGTGAAACTGTAGCAACTCTTGTTATGCTTTCTACTTGTAGATGATAGAGAGAATTCATCTTCTTCCACTTCATCACTGTAGCTTAAGAGATCTTTAGCGCTCGACCTTTAGCGGTGCACTTACATTCGATGTCATCGAGTGTCTCTAGAGAGATAAAGTTCTTTTCAGCTCTGGTACATGCCACATGTCTACCCATGTGCACTCCACCCTATCATACATAAGGATTTGAACTATCCTATCTCCATAATCTTGTAGGCTGCTATACTCCCCATCAGAATTCTACCCTATGTGCAATTTGGTAAGGAAAAAAAAAAAAGATAAGGCCAATCAATAGATACGTCCATTACCGCCTTCATAGGAGTCTTCCACTTGCTCGATCAACCTTGCTTAAAGACCAACAAAAAACACTCTTAAAGGCATGGGTAATTTTTCTACTCTTGACTTCAAAATACGAATCCCAACAGCATATTATATGTATGTGCCCTCCCTTGATATGATGGAGGATACTTTTTCACCACAAAATTCCATTTCAAATAAGTGAGTCAGGTGCTGAGATTTCTTTTTTGGTTTAACAAATCAATCTATGTCCTCCAATTGAATTGGGATTCGTAACGGGTTCTTGTTGAGAAAACCTCCTAATATGTTTTGAAGATTGACAAAATATTTCATAAGTTTCTATTAAATTTGACTTAAATAATTTCAGGTGATATTCACGTAGAAACAATGTTTAGATTCTCGTTAGTTTGAATATCTTATTCATTGCTCTGAGTATTTGCAGACTTAATCAATGTATGCCAAGGATATTCTTATAGTAATATGAAGAATCCTTCAAAGGCTGCATGTGAATTTTATCGAGGTGTTTTCTAATTTTTAGACTTTACATTTCCAAACTTTAGAAGAACGCGAACTTAGACTACGACATTTGTTTTTGAGGCTTTGTATGACTCATTAATTAACAAATCAATTTATGTCCTCCAATTGAATTGGGTTTCATAATGGGTTCCTGTTGAGAAAACCTCCTGG